ATTTCTTATTTATTCGTTATCTCTTAAAATATCTATCTATACGTGTATGTATATATTACCTAGCTTTTGAATTCGGTATGAAAATGAAAAATCGTTGCTCTTTTATATTATATATAATAGCATGAGTTTATCCGAAAAAAAAGTCTTGTTCGTTTTATTTATATAGCATGTATGCTTCGCATGGCTTTGAATTATGTATTCATTTGAAATTCAAGTTTTTTTTCTTCATTTTCTAAAATAGGTATTCAATATTAGAAGATGGAAGTCTAATGATACGTGAAGCATCAGCATCTGATAGTGGTGTCTATGTATGTAATGCAACAAATAAATTTGGTTCTGATATACGTAGTGGTACATTAAATGTTAAACGTAAAACACGTATACAAACTCGTCCTGGAAATCAAGAAGTACGTCGTGGTTATTATGCAATATTTCGTTGTACAGCAGTTGCTGATACATCATTAACATATGATATTGATTGGTACAAAGATGGACGTTTACTTGCTTATACAGGTTAATTTTATTCATTTGTTTTTTTGCTCCTTCTATATAAATTTTATTGGTTGTCTTTTAGGTCGTTTTATAAAAGATGTAGCTGATCAAAATACATTAAAAATTGTTGATGTACAATTTGATGATGGTGGTTCATATGTATGTCGTGCAAGTACTGAACTTGATTTTGATGATGCAAGTGCAACATTAGTTGTACAAGATCGACCAAATCGACCAAGAATAACAAAAGTTAATTGTAGTGGTTCAACACAAAATGTATTTGGACAACCATTTGCAATTGTTCAATGGGAAGCAACAGGTACGAAAAAAGAATGACAACTTTTATTTTTGAATCAATAAGAAAACTAAACAAAAAATAATTTAAATTTAGGTGATAATAATGCACGAGTACTTTATTATGAATTACAATATAATACATCATTTCAACAAAATGATTGGATATCAGTACCAGTTGAACAACGACGAGAATCTTATAATGAAATTAAATCACAAGATGGTTCAATTAAATTAGAACCAAAAACAACAAGTAATTAGAATCTATTTTCCTTGTCGAATATTTATATAATTTTTAGTTTTTCGAACAACACGTCTTCCATCAAATCAATATGATTTACGTGTAACATTATCTTGTTGGGCTAATTATACATTTCGTGTTATTGCTTATAATCGTGTTGGTGCTAGTGATCCAAGTCCTATATCAGAATCCATGTGTTCAACAACAACATGTCGACCACGATCAAATCCAGTTGGTATTCGAGCATATACTACACAATTTATACCATTACTTATTGAATGGGATGTAAGAAAGAAAACAAAAGAAATGATTGATTTATTTATTGTTGATAAATTTATTTTAATTTATATTTCTAGAGTATGCCACCTATAAAATGGAATGCACCAAAATTTTGGTATGAAGTTGGTTGGCGGCCATTTATACCAGGTCCAAATCCTGAACCATTTATGACTCAACGTGTTTATCCACCACAAAATCAATTTGCAATACCAAATCCAGCTCTTAACATGCGTTATCAATATTATGTTAAAGCAGTCAATCAACAACCCGGAGGTAAATTATTAGAGACGTACTAATCTAGAGCATCAAGTTTTATATTGAGAAATTATAAATGAGATCTAGAGAATCTATTTTAATTTCATGATTATATTCATACTTTATTATTATTTAGAAATCAATGGTGCTGATGCCAATGAACCTCCAGTATATTTCATTGCCTTTGCTGGCGATTCGGGTAATTATGAAAATGTTACTTTCACTTCTTCTGTATCTTCATCATTACAACCTATAACATCAACACGAAAATCTACAACTATTCGAACAATGTTATTACAACGTAAACAAAATCCTGTTCGTTGTTTAGGAACAAAAAAAGCTTGTCAAACGAGTACCCCACCCTCACTTTGAAATTAATAAAAAATCTTCTAAGAAAAATATAAAAAATTTTATTTTGTAAAAGTATTCTATGCATGTGTTTTATAGCACCAACGTATGTTCCACGTAATTTTCGCTTGATGCAAGCGCTTGATGGTACAACAGCACAATTTGCATGGGACCCTCCATTGGATGTTGATGAAGTTAATATTCGAGGTTTTCTTAAAGCTTATCAGGTTGATTACTATTAGTTTTTTTTCATGCATGTTTATGTATGTGTGTGTCTGTGTGTATATAGATTGAATTGTTTCGAACGAATGATCCTGACAATTCTCTTCGTGTGGTATCAGATATTTCACCAAATCAAACTTGGACAACTGTTTTTAATGCACCATCAAATGGTGAAGTTGCTGCTCGAATTCGTATTGAAACTGAACGTTATTTAGGGCCAACAAGTTCTGTCGTATGTGTATATACATAATAAATAATCAATCTGATATCTTTTTGTTTATTTTTTTAGATTCCATTTGTCACAAGAGAAGGTCGTCCAGGCCCAGTTACTAATTTACGTGGTATACCATTTGGTGGTAATGGAATTTATCTTTTTTGGGATGCACCAGATGAACCAAATGGTTTTCTTATTGGCTATCAAATTGATTATAAAACTATTGAAAGGTAATTTGTTACTTTTTGAATTCGATTCAATAACTAAATCTTTTTTTTATATAGTATTGTTGCTCAACCAGGTCTTGATCAACCACCTATCGTAATTCGTGATCCTAATCAACGAGATTATATGATTGGTGGACTTAAACCATATACAAGATATCGTGTTCAAGTACGAGCACGTACTGTACCTGGTCTTTCAACAAGTCCAGCTATGATTGAACTTACTACAAATCTTAGTCTTAGTAAATATTTACTTAAATAGATAATAAATGATATTAAATCAATATGTTTAATTTTAGTACCATCGAAACCAACATTTGTTGTTACATATCGTAGCTCAACATTCTTTAATGTATCATTTGATCCAACAAGAATGACTATTCCTGGTAGTCGTTATTATGTACAATATAAAGAAGATGAATCAGGTATATATTGCTAAGAAATAGAAATCAACCTAATTTTTCGTTATCCGATGCTTGCTGGCAGCTACAAGTTCTTTGTAATACATTCTATTCACTTTTAGTAATATTGTTTAAAAGAGAACACAACAGTTCAGTGTATGAATATAATTAATTCCTTTTGATAGACTTTCCACTACATATTTTTATGTAATACTTATGATCGTGCAGTGTTATTAGACATAAGTATCATTGCATTGAAACTCTGTCTAATGTTGCAGATTAAAATATGGTGTTTCCGTAGAGTAGAAGGCTCTATAAAAAAACATTTTTCTCGATTTAGATGGTCAAGCTATATATAAACGAACATATGCTGTATCATATGAGCGTACTATTATGGTTAGTCCACTTGACCCAGGTAAAAGATATATAACAATATTAGTTGCTGGTGATGGTATACGAGCTGAAACTAAGAGTGATCCTCAAAAAGTGACTACACTTGGCAAAGGTATGTTTTTTTTAAATATTTACAATAAAATATTTTTTATAATTTGCTTTTATTCAGATCGTGGTCCACGGTGGAATGATGCACCTTGGTTTATTGGTTTGATTGTTGCATTGATTATAATGCTTATTGTTTTTATTGTTGTTTGTGGTATTATGAGAAGTAAAGGTGGAAAATACTCAGGTAATTATTGATATTAATCTCTATGTTTTGTAATTTATTATTGTTTTTTCTTTGTAGCATTGGAGAAAGATATATCACATGATGATGATGGAAAATATTCTGATTATAATCGAGCGTATGTTTAAACCTATTTGATTTTATTTTCTTAATTAAAAATAAATTTATTTAAATTTAGACCAAGTGATGTATCAATGAAACAAAGTCGATCATCATTACATGATTCAATGGCAGAATTTGATGATGATAAAAGACGTACATATTTGGTAAAATATGGTGAAAATGAAGATACAAATGAAGATCAACCGAATTTTTCAACTGCTGTATAGATATATTAATCGAACATTTATCTTACTTATTCTTCTTTGTAAATTAATCGTCTTTTCATTTTTGAAAAACGAGTATTTTTCTTTTTTCTCTTTTTTTTTGTCTTATTCTGCATCAATGAATCTCGTTACAAAAACAAAAAGTATATACATATATACACACCAATGCAGAATAAAAGTTAGGCTAGAAATCATTTTTGGTACGTTTTTTTGTTAGGTAATTGAGACTTTTTCTATATAAATATTTCCTAACATGTGGCGTTTTTTTTCTCTTAAATGACTATCAATAATTTTCTTATTCTTTTTGATATTTGTTATTATGAATTTTTTTTTTGATTGTGTATACATTCCATTTAAAAAGAAATATATTGCCATGAAATTTCTCAGATATAGATAAGAAAAAAAATTGTAGCATATGAATATTATAGTGAAAATATGACCTACATTTTTCTAAAATCTATTTTTATACTTGTCGGATATGTTTACGGAACACAACATTAATTATCCTTAGCTTTGTGAAAATAATCTTTCTAGGTTTTAAGTAATATTCTTAATTGAAATGAATACTTCAATCATATGGAGAGAGCATACATTCATCAAACAGTTACTGTGAAATATTGTCACACTTGTTACCGTGTCGTCAATGGCAGTATCATTTTTTTGTCACAAATCATTAGAGACTGTCTTATGAAAACCTCGCAACACGACAAACTTATATTATGATTTTTAACACACACTTCTATTTTCATTTCATATAAATGTCAACTAAGATTTTTACAACAATCAAAGAGATGTATTTGTTAATAGGAAGCTATAAATTAACATTAACAATAGAGTAGACAGATTTCGATTGAAATGATTAGTAAATTCTGTCAATACTGTTACAAAGGGGCTAGTTTCTCAACGATTACGGTGAATACTAATTAGTTATTATATTTGACAATAATGTTAATTTTACAGATGCTATGTAAATAGAATTTATTTTTAATAAATACAACATATTATAATATAGATACAATGAATCAGACTTTAGTCTTCTGCTGGCCATTTCTTATATTTACAGTTGTTATTATAGGCATAACTCGTCGAGTATTCCACGGAAAGAATGTTGTTATTTTTATCCATATACCAGGTAAAGATATGAGACATACGAAAGGCAAAAGATATTGAATTATATTAGTAAAGAAGACTAAATAAAGCTGGAATTCAGTAGCAAAATCAGGATAACCTGCATATTGTACCATAGTTATAAGCATTAATGGTAAATTCAATGAAAGATAAAGTGTACACACTGATAATAATTGAAATGTCATTTTTCGGCATCTTTTCCAATCACGATGATGAAGATATCTTTGCCATAAAACACGAATAAGTAATGTAATATTGAATATTGCAATCAGAAAAGTTGGTATAACACCATGAACGAATACAATCCATAGTATTAAAGGTGGAACTGAAAAATAACATGGAAAGGCTCCACATACAGGTGATGTAAAATCATATTGATTTTCACAGGGCGGAAAGAAAATAGTACAGATATAAAAAATAATTAAATATATAAAAATAAATGTCAAAGGTAAATAATGATTAAATAATCGTTTTCGTTTTGTCGAAACTAAATTTGAATGAAAAATAAGAATATGACGTTGAAATGATGACCAAGCTAAAATAACTGTACATGTATCATAAAAACCATACTCGAGAAGCCACCATACTTCACATAAAAATGGTACTTGTGGCCAGACGTTTCCTTGACGACGATAACTATCTATTTTCCAAGAGAAATCAAATAATACAATAGAGAATGAAAGGAAAAGAAGAACTAATATTGAATGATTATGAAGAGCTTGACGTTCAGTTTTTTTAGTGAGAATATATGTAAGAACAAGTAAATAACATATTACAGATGGAATTTGTAAAATGAGTGCAAACCAAAACTGAAATGAATATGATAAGTTCACTGCTGAGAAATTAGGATATATAATCGTATCATTTAATGAGTCGTTAGCCAATAATAAGTTACTGCTGTTTGTACCTGCTTCAGGGAACATTGCTGAAGAATAATTTTGTTCATACAATGTCTGGTTTATTATTTGAATACTAGTATATAAACGAAACATGATACTCTTGTCTCGTCGTCAGAGAATTATTGTATAATATTTCAGTATAAGTTTAATGTTAATAATTAGTTTTAAGACTGCAGCTATCGTTTCAATATAGAAGATAAGAGATAAAATGGCTTAATAGCTCAAATAAGAGTGAGAAGTATGTCACAGAAGTTTCATGTAATTTGTACTGTAAAATTAGTAGAAGACTCCTTGAAGCCTATAATCACAGTGATACATCTTTTCTTCATTAGTATAAATAGATTACTTTACTTTTCTTTTCTAATATTACAACATATAATTCTAAGTAGTGAGATGAATGAAATTGATGGCACTTAATTACCTTTTAATCTTCCTATGATGTCCGTTGGCTGCTACAATCATATATTTTGCCTGTTCTAGATGAAGACTTCTTCATGATATTTTTGCTTCTATGCATTCATTCATAATCGACTATGTAATGTACTGAGATATTAATTAAAAACTTTCAATAGTAAATAATAAGTTTACGAAAAATCATAACTTGTACCCAGAGAATCATAGTCAATTTAATATCGACGTGTCAATACAACTCATTGAGACAAAATCATCAAAAAAAAACGTAATTTTACGCGGTAAAATCGCACATATTAATCAGTTATTAACGTGTTTCCTGGTAAAAACAACAAGAAAAACGGGTTTTTTTGTTGATTTTATCTGAGTGAAAATGTACAGTTCATGAATTTTTTTGATATAGTATTTTACTTTTAGTTAGAGGCTAGTAGAAAATAGAGTATATAAGAATTAAGTATGCATCATGTTCAATGTATTAACAATGTTTAAACATTCACTAAAATAACTATATACTCACTTGAGTTACTCGTGTCATATTTAAATCCTATTAGACTATCATAATAATTTACACTTATTTAATCAGTTAATCATTATATACAACATTACATATTATTCTGATTACAATTTATTCGTGAAATATTCAGAATCGCAAGGTTCATCAAACATATTACGCTCAAAGGCATTTAAACAGATCAATTATTCCTTGATTAAAGCTTACACGTTCAATAATCAAATGAAAAACTACAAAAAAATGATGTGTTACTTCAGTTCCATTTATTATAAAGTTAATAACAAAGAAGAATCATCCGAATTTATTAACTTCCAATTTGAGATTATATCACGTATTTCGATATTTACGTTAATATTTAAATGACACAGAATGTCAAGCAACATAATATCATATTTCGATGATGAGACAACTAAGTGATGTGTTTATTTTATGAATATTTTTTCAACCCCTTCTCGATACAAATAACAACATAAACATATCTGGTCATGACATAGGCATCATAAATCACATTTGTGTCTCATACTTGTCGATTTTTAACATTGCCAATTGTTGATATAGGCATAACTCGTCGAGTATTCCATGTAAAAAGTGTTGTTATTTTTACCCATATACCTGGTAAAGATATGAGACATACGAAAGGCAAAAGATATTGAATTATATTAGTAAAGAACACTAAATAAAGTTGGAATTCAGTAGCAAAATCAGGATATCCACTTAGTTTCACCATGGCTACAAGCATCAATGGCAAATTCAATGAAAGATAAAGTGTACACACTGATAATAATTGAAATGCCATTTTTCGACATTTTTTCCAGTCATGACGATGAAGATGTCTTTGCCATAAAACACGAACAAGTAATGTAATATTGAATATTGCAACAAGTAAAGTTGCTGTAACGCCATGAGCAAATACAGTCCATATTTCCAATTTTGAAACTGAAAAATAACATGGAAAAGCTCCACATATAGGCGATGTAAAATCATACTGATTTTCACAGGGTGGAAAGAAAGTAACATAGATGTAATAAATAATTAAATATATAAAGATAAATGTTAAAGGCAAATAATGATTAAATAATCGTTTTCGTTTTGTAGAAACTAGATTTGAATGAAAAATAAGAATATGACGTTGAAATGATGACCAAGCCAAAATAACTGTACATGCATCATACAAACCAAACTCAATGAACCACCATACTTCACATAGAAAAGGCACTTGTGGCCAAACGTTTCCTTGACGACGGTAACTATCTATTCTCCAAGAGAAATCAAATAATACAATAGAGAAAGAAAGGACAAGAAGAACCAATATTGAATGATTATGAAGAGCTTGACGTTCAGTTTTTTTAGTGAGAATATATGTGAGAATAAGTACATAACATATTACAGATGGAATTTGCAAAAAGAGTGCAAACCAAAACTGAAATGAATATGATAAGTTCACTGCTGATAAAGTAGGATATATAATAGTATTGTTTAATGAAACATTAGTTAATACTAAAGTATCATTGGCTGTATTCATTTGAGTAATGAATGTCTGAGAAATGAGTACTTTATATAATAAACCGTTTGTCAACTGAGTTTGATTAGACTAATAAAACATAACATTCACTAGTAATTGATTATAATGTTTTTATAAATTACTTGTTTTAAAGATGAAAAGACAAGCAAATATAGCTTGAATGGGAGCCGTATTGAATAAATAGTTCACACCAATATATGTTGTGCTCATGTAGAAAAGAATTATAAAAAATAGCGAGCATTATTGAAATTAATAAAACCTCGGGACATACTAGAGAATTTATATGTCATTGGCATTATAAAAGAGCTAGAAAATAATTCTTCATATACGCTATAGCATAAGTACATCTTTTGTATTATTATGAATAGAGTTCTTTGTTTTTTCTAAGTCAAGATTCTCAATATGTGTTTTGTCAGCGAACTGCAGATGGTAACTTTCAATTTCCTTTTAATCCTCTTATGGTATTTGTTTGTTGATGAAATCTTGAAGTTATTTTGATTAAGTGAAAAGCTGCTTCAGTTTTAACATAATTGATATTCTTTTGTTATATCCTACAGATAGTATTAAAATATAAGTTGAGGAAGTTTCATTAACTTTCATACTTCCTAAAACAAGATGGTTTATATAAATATTAACTTTAAATAAAGAAATTATAATTAAACAAAATCGAATGTATAGTTGTGATGTATTATGAATTTTGTAAAATACTATGTCATCAGACAATAGAATATACACTCATATATCATATTTTGATTTTTTTCTTCTTATAATAAGAATTAATATCGTCAAACACAAATTCCAAAGTTTTTTCAATTATATAAGTCTTTAATCTCTTTCGAGGAATCTAAAGAATAAGATAATAAATTAACAATATTTTCCTATGAGAACGTTCTTACAATTCATTGATCTAAAATATTCTTCATATAATTTATTTATATTTGAGTAAAACATTATACAGAATGTTCCAAAAGTTCCTTAAAAAAGTTAATTCAGATATCTCTTATATAACTCAATCAACTTAATTGATTTTTAATACGTTGCGAAGCAAAACATTTATGTAGTCCTTCATGGCTTTCTTTTCTTCTCGACATCCAGATCCAAAGTTGTCACTTTGCATCGGGAATATCTTAGGAAAGGAACATCAGAGAATACACGTTTAAACACAAAATTAATATACTAAGATAGAACTGATGTCACACGTTCTCCGATTTCGAACATCATATGTTTAGTTTGTTTACAGAACGTATCGCAAAAACACGATTTTGATATAAATTTGGCTTTATTCCACTACAATTGTGAGTGTTGAGAATTTTATGAGAACATCAGAGTCGTTATTCTGTCATTTTGTAGTTCACGTCATTTTGTTTCGGATGTTTTTCTTTCAACGAGTAATTGCAATATCATGTGAAATATATGATGCATGACGAATGTATATTTATTCAGGTAAGAAGAAAGAATACAAACACATCATATCACCAACATACAACGTTACAAAACACGCATTTCATCAGGAGTCTACAATGACAAATCAAACCGCAGCCAGCTTCCTTACATTACCAGTAGAACTTGTGTATCGAATCTTGGATCAGCAATCCGATTTCACAATTATCTGCTCAATGAGAAACGTCTGTCAACGATTTAACAGAATCATAGATAGTTACGATCGATATCAGGTAAACTTTTTTCTATCATGACAGTCTAATTTTTGTCTATTGACTCACAAATTATTTTTCATTCCTACAATCTCTATTGAAGTAGACTCATATCAATAAAATGTACGTGAATAAACTATTTGCGAATTAAACTAATTTAACACTTCTTAATCTTTGTCGAAAATAATAACCTGATAATTAGAAAAAAATAGCTTCTTGTTTTTTTTTATTTCAATTTCATCTAAGCACTTTTCTATTAGATTTTCACAAATAAAAATAAAATTTTGAAAGAACCTAATAATCTATAAACCAGCCAGTTTATCTTGTTATAAATAACATCTCGGAAAATCACTTAAGAAATATCTCCGACAAATGCTTCACTGAGAGTAAGACCGACTCTGACTATACGTAACGGCGAATATAGATAGAAAGCAGATTGATTCACAACAGCATTCACACTCGAATGAAATCACATTACTTGCAATTATACCAGCCACGTAGAACATTTTTTCAAGGAACGCTACCTCCAAAAGTAAATTATTATCAAAAACCGCCCTTTTCCACTTCTTTTTACCTTACCTTTTTACCCAACAATCTTGAGCACTACAATCAATCTATATTCAAAGAAGTATTAAGACTTATATCCATGTGCTCTTCGATGGAGTCCTACCAACATTTATTTCATTGATCTAAATCGACATAGCAATGAACAACTATGCTATTCCTTGATCTGTCTCATGTCTCTACTCACACTTTTCCATCTAGACACTAACCACACTAAATCTCAAAAGCAATAAAATCGGACATATTGAAGCACAACATTTGGCTAATGCATTACAACACAACACAGTAATTGTCTTTCTCTCTTTATCGATATCATGTGCATACTTACACTTTCTCATCTAGACACTCACCACACTAGATCTCGAGTACAATGCAATTAGATCTGATGGAGCACAACATTTGGCTAATGCATTACAACACAACACAGTAACTGTCTTTCTCTCTTTGTCTATATCATTTCTTTACTTGCAGTTTTTCATCTAGTCAGTCACCACCGTAAATCTCGGGAGCAATGGAATCGGAGATGTTGGAACACAACATTTGGCTAATGGGCTACAACACAACACAGTAATTGTCCTTCTTTTTTTCTTTATCTATATTATGTATACACTTACAATTTCTCACCTAGGCA